CACCTGAGTATGTCGAGGGCCTGAAGGATCAGCGTGAGCGCCGTTTTCGGCAAGCCGTAGATGAAGTAGAGCGGCTTGTAGTACAGCGGCTTCTCGAGCTGACAAAGCTGAACATGAGTGGTGTTGGTGAGTTGCATCTTCATAAGCCTTTTGATTTACTTACTGGGACTCTGAATAGGCTATAAGCAACGCGAGAAAATTCGAAAGGCGCTCCAGGCACGTTCGCAAGCCATTCGCAAGGCACTAGACAATTACAATGAGGCGGCGCGAAGTCTCGGCCACCCTAGTGGGACACTCACCTGGCTTAACGTCATTGAGATGGTTCAGCTAGGGGAGTTCGAGCTCCTCAGAGAATCACGAACAAATATTCAAAGCGCCGACTGGAGCAAGCCTGCTTATCGAGAGGCTATGTCGCTCTATTTCAGCGTCAAGCGGGCGCGGGAGGAAGTTGTTCGGTGCAACGTTGAAATTACACGGCAACTTACGTTCATGATCAATGAGTTCAACGATATGCGGCGGGCCATTGAAGAGCTAAAGCGTGCTGACAAAATGGACTTGGCAAGTGAGTTACAAGATCGTTTGGACAGTCGAGCGGCAATCGATGCCGATATTGCATCCAAATTTGCCGATATTGGGCGCCTCCCCGGATTCACTGGCTCGTTGCTGCCAGGTGGTCGTTTAGGACGTGGGCCTTTTCGAGAAGATGACACCCTTCCTCCCTGGGCAACTGATTTGTTAGGTTGGATGGTCGAGTATTCCACTGATCCCCAGGCACAGGATTCACCGGCTGCAGCAAGAGGCAGAGAAGGTCAGGCACCTCACGAAAGGGTATCTGATGCAGAGCAAGAGGAAGCCGAACATTCTGCTGGTCCCCAGGCACAGGAATTGTCGGCTGCAGCAAGAGGTGGAGAAGGTCAGGCACCTCACGAAGAGATATCTGATGCCGAGCAAGAGAGGCGGCAACAGATCTTCACCTTGTTGAATGCCCTGCAGCAGGAGCTGGCGTCGTTGCAGGCGTCGCAGCCATCTGGAAACGCTGAGTCGTTTACTACCCCTTCACACCCACCAACTCCGTCGTCTTCTCAGCTACCTTCTAGCACGCAGCCAGCAGTCCCATGCCAAGCCGCGACCTCATCAGCACCCGAATTTCCACCAACAGCCGGCCCTTCACGTGTGATCCTTGGACACCTTCCCCGAGTCGCAAATTCGAGGAAAAAAGGAAAACGCAAGGCCGACGTGCTGGATGGCGATGGTGATTCGAGTGGTTCAGAAGCCAGCGACATGGATGCCGTGGATGTTGTTGTTCGCGAAGACCAGTCCACCAGCTTATTTGAAGTTTTCGGAGAACCCTCTGACTGATGAATTTTCTGTAGTGAATGGTTCTTTTTGATTGTTTATGCTGTCTACATCTCCCTGTACATGTACTAAAGTTTCTGTGATTTTCTGTGATTTTTTTATATTTTTACAAATTTTTGGTGATTTTTCGAGGACTTAGGGCCTTCGCGACGTTGAGCGGTGCCCGACGCCGTTGACATCGTGCACGGCGACGTCGAAGCAGCGGCGGTGTCACCTGTCAAAGGCTGACAGGCGGGCCATCGGAGACCACGGGCGATGACGTGTGTAGGGGATCGGCGTCAGTGGTCTAGACCTGCACGTGATATGACCCTTCCCAATGCGGTCGTCCCACTTTTCTGTATTTCCACGAATTTTTTGTGATTTTTTGGTGATTTTTTGAGGTCTTGGGGCCTTCGCGACGTTGAGCGGGTGCCCGACGCCGTTGACGTCGTGCACGACGACGACGAGGCAGCGGCGGTGTCAAACCTGTCAAAGGCTGACAGGCGGGGACATCGGGGACCGCGGATGATGACGTGTGTGGGCGAGATGATCGCCGTCGGTGGTCTCGACCCACCCGTGACGTGGTCCTCCCCAATGCGGTCGTCCCAGGGAGCGATATTGCAGAGCGGTATTGCGGTTCGGAGCGGCCGATCCGAATCAAGCCTAACTAGACGGATGCCGGTCATGGGATGCATCCGTCTAATTAGGCTTAAAGGGTGGGAACCTCAGGTGAACGAGGCACTCATACGTCCTGCCCCTGCCTATTTAGGTCGCTCCCGTTCGAAATCAGCAACTTGACTTCGGCTATTATCATTGCATTCATACAGCATCTGTATTGGAATACCACTTATCCAGTATTGATACCATATATAGATTCCATGACTCAGTTACAAATTCAGTAATTCTTCGCGTTGTATCTCGAGACTTCTAGATCTTTGAAAGGTCTTCTATAAATACCTGACCATATTGTATTAGAATCCCATCTTCGAATCAATCTATCTTCTCCTCGTTTGCCACATAACTAGTGCCGCAGGCATAGTTATTCCTAAGTATTACGCAGTAATTCTTAGATCTCGTATCTAGTATACTTCCCTTTCGCAGAAAAGGAAGTCTATATCTACGAAATAATCAGATAATTGCGTCATTGAAAGATCTGAACTCGTAAATTAATTACGTTAGTAATCTAATCTCGATTCTAACTCAGCATCCTATCTAGCATCCCGCTTTTACACCAAATTATTCTAATTCTAGAAATCATGTCTACCTCCGTTTCAATCGTAAACTTGAAGCACACGACATCGTCCACCCCGCAGCCTTACGTCCTGTATATTGTTGAAGTTCTTCGCGGTGGCGTGGGTGTCGAGGTCACTCGTCGTTTTTCTGAGGTATGTGAACAGCGGTAATTTTGCATCAGTATATCGATGCGCCGCAGTTCGTGCGGCTTCATGAGCTTCTGGACGATCCTTATGCGCTACCGGACAAGAAAGTGGCGCATCAACTGCTCCCTCTGGCCTGGCTCGATGATGATCTTTTATGTGAACGCAAGCATGGCCTTTCTGGGTATATGAACGATCTGCTGAGGGACCCTCTGTTCAACTCGCGCCTCGAGCTTCTTGAATTTCTCGCTCTGGAGCTGGATACTCCTTTGATGACTTCTGTGACTGCCTCTGCTACTGGGTTGGTCTCGACAAATGTGTCTGCACGTAAAAACATCTCGCGTTCTACCTCTTGTATGGCTGCTTCTTACTATCCAAACTGGGTGCTGGATACTTTCCCTCCTGAGAACATTGATTTCAGCAAGTTCGACATCATCTACTATGGTATGTTTTCTTTTTTACTGAGAGTTGTCTGGAGGCAAGTGTAAATCGTACCATAGCGTTCGCGACACCTAATTCGTCTTCAAACATCAGCTGGGAGACGGGAAGTCAAGACATCTTGCGGCGGCTTATCAACGCAGCTCGCAACAGTGGCCAAGGAACGAAGATTGTCCTGTCCGTTGGTAAGGAAGTAACCTTCGTCGATCTGATCATTTTCTAATATTTGATTGATAGGAGGGTGGTCCGGCTCGTACTGGTTCTCTCAGGCTATGAGCAATGACGACAATCGCGGTAAACTCGTAAAGTCTTTGCTTGATGCAGTCAGCACGTTTAGTTTGGATGGTTCGTAAGATGTTGCTTTTGTTTACCAAATCGCTCACTTGTAACAGGTATCGATATCGATTGGGTCTGTGTTCTCTCTGAATGTTTTAATTTGAAAAGCTCAAAGTCTCTCCTTGTGAAGGAATATCCTGCCTCCCCCGGAAGTGGTAATCCGTGCGCTTGAAATCTCACGCCTTTTTTCACTCCAGACGACAGGCACTCGTCGCAGGACTCCGGTAACTTTTTGCAATTCTTGCAAGCGTTTCGAAGGTTGAAGCGCCCTTGGTATATCGTATTTTTTCAAAGCTGATTCATGGCCTTAACCAGTACACATAGGACCACGCAAGATCATTTCGGCGGCGGTTACACATCGCCTTCGGCTCGGTAGTGATGGTCGGCCCATGTCCGATGTCTCTGACTATGCCGCACAGCTCACGTATCTGAACATTATGAACTACGACGTCAATAATCCATCCTCCGACCCCATCCCTAGCCCCAATGCGCCTTTGGGAAATGGCTGCGGAAACTCGTCGCAACCTGAGGCGAATGCGTCGGTGGCTTTGGCTAACTGGACCTCTGCTGGATTTCCGGCTCATAAGCTCGCCCTGGAGCTCGTAATCTACGGGTACGTTTTTCAAAGCACACGAACGACGTTGTCACAGGTTGTGCGTCCACCCCGCATGACACGTCCTTGTCGCCTGATCGGGTTTTCTGGCTGTGTCACCGACGGGTCGAATGATTTAAGTTCGATGTTCGGGCGGCAGGTTCCGTTCTTACAACTGATTGACGCTGGAGTACTGTATCGTGCTGACGACGGTTCTTACAAGGCTAAGAACGGCTATACGCGTGGTTGGGACCATTGCAGCACGACGCCGATATATGCCTCACGGACTTGTTGACAATATTTGCTCCTGCTCATTCCTCGCTATCGACAGTTCCTTTTCTCTCAAGAGCGCCGGACAGTAGATCTTACGGTGATCCTGCCACTCTGGGCGCCAAAGCTCGCTTCGCACGTTCGCAAGGCATGGCTGGGTGCTTCACTTGGAGTCTTGAGCAGGTGACAACATTAACTATGCCTCATTACTGTATACTTACGTTTACATGTGCAGGACGATGACGGTCACCTGCAAGACAGCATCAGGATTAACCTTGGCAAGTCATGATTGGATCAATTTAGTTCAACTACTATTGTCTTGCACCTATCTCGAACTGGAAAACCCGAACACCGCTACTTGGTTACATACATCACTATAGCCCTGTCTCTTCGCGAATATTCATAATATGACTAGCTTTAAACCTGTGACAGGACATGCGGCGACACGCGCAGTAGTTGTGGAAATAAGTTGAAATGCCACAACAATAACAAGGGGAGAGGGTGTAGAGGAAGTAGCTATTGGTGGCTTCATATGGATGACGAAAAGTGAAAGATATTCAAAGGAAATTTTGTAAGGGATATCTGAGGGGAACCCAGTAAAATGACATTCCGATCATAATAAGACAAAAGTAAATAGCTTGCCAAGGGTGTACTACATCAAGAGGGAGTTGAACCCCCGCCGCCTGCTCCCGAAATAACTACCGATCGTTATACAAGATGGAAGGCAGGCATGATAACCGTTTCACCACTGATGTTTGACCTAACGGTTATTTGTATATATGAAGTTTGGTATATATAGTCCTCGCAATGCGTACTATCGGGAGATCGAGAGACGAGAACAGGAGCAAAAAGATATGTGTAGATGATGAAATGGGCGTCGCGTGGCTATGGGGAATTCCAAAAAGAATTGTTTCGGTGTGTGGCCATGGACGCCTTTCTCAGCATATCGTATGTAGGAGAGCGAGGTTGGCGTATTGTGTTATTATTTGCCTTGCCTTGCCTTTTTTTGTTTGCATTGTCTTGTACACCTCGTCCGCATCAGCAATTTCAATACCTTTGTCTATTTGCAGGAAAAGCATAGCAAGAAATAGCGGTGCTCAAATCCGACGTGCAGAGGGAATCATACGATTCGCGGGCTAAATTTGAAGCGCACTTATGGCAACGCCACAGGAAGGAGTTTGAGGGATTCAAAATAGAGCATAGCGATCATACATCTCGAGCCTTGCAGCTCTTTGAAGTTTTGATGTGCATAGAATAAGAACGAGGTGTACATGGGCGACAATCCCGAAGGGGATAGAAATAAGAATCAATAAAATTGGGGAAAAGTGGTTGTTCTAAGAAAGCGGACGAGAAAATATGAGGGCGACAATATCAAAAAAGTAGAGAACCTCAAAGCGAGGATAGATTAACGCTCCCGACCAATGAAGAGCAATGGACAACTTGAAGGCTCATTATCGTCGAGAAGCCAAATCCCACTGCGACTGAAGAACATGAGAAATCCTCACCTAAGGTATTCCACTCGCACCATGTTCGCCACAAGGGTGTTGATGGTATTGACGCGCTTTTCACGCCGGCATAAGCTTTGCAGAGGGGGGGGGAAGTCACCACCTTGCGATTTTCAAGATGAAATGAATGACAATTTGAAGACCACATCGGTTTACTGAAAACACGTGAAGCTGCAGTCGAAGAAAGCCGCACCATTCTTCGTCGGCGGCTTCTGTCGGACGATTGCCGGCCACGATCCGCACCAAGAGCACCAAGTTCTGCAAAGTAGAAACATAAATAAGGCCAATTGAAACTTTTACATGGACGCCGATCCCAGCGGGACCCACTACGAAGGTTTGACAAACTGAGGACGAGACTGATTAAATGTATGCTAGCAGAAATAACAGACAATTTGATCATGAAACCGGCCGGAGCTGGCAGAATCGAGAGAGAGAAAACTAGGAGCTCGATCCGAACTAAGTATGTATCGTCGACGACGGCAACGAGACATGTCCGATATGATTGCGGTCCTCGGTCTGTCAAAATATGCTAGTAGCCCATGTGCTTCGGTGTTGCATACCCTAGAACGCGAGGAATGCGTCGAACAGTGGTCAAAGAATTCTTTTGAGGGAGAAAAAAATACGGGCTAGATATTTTGTCCCGGCAGGTACATCAGCAACATTATGTCTAATGGGAAAAGCTAAGGTAAACTGACTCGTCAAATAAGAAAGTAAGTTGGAGAATGTGGCACCTTGAGTACCTCCAAGTCGAATACAACATTGAAGAACCCCGTCCACGACAATCTGTCAGGAAGCTAGGTCTCTGCACCCACAAGGGCATCCTTTGCTATGTCCATGATCAAAAGGCAAATCACATCAGCTGTTTGGGTACAGGCACGGGTGCTGGCGAATTTATGGACTCTTGATCTCCTCTGCAAGAATAGGAAAACAGGACACGCAGATCACAATATTTGAGGAGTCCTAGTCAACGGTCAACTCTTCAAAGAAAGCACCGAAAAGATCGGTTTGCGCGTCTATCCAAAAACTGAGAGAAACAAGCCGATCCAAGCCCCTCCAGCCATGGATGGTGGTACGGCTGTCGCAAAGCCAGGATTTTTTCGTCTCGAAAAGTAGTCACATTGTGCCGCGGATGGATTCATGAGAAGAGCGAAACCAGAGTCGGAACATCGCTAGATGGATCAATTGACAGACCGTAGCCCTTGGGGAAAAAGTATTGAAGAGCTCTCTAATTCACTAAATATACAAGCGTCCTGCAGCAGCAAAAAAAAAGGTGAAAAACATGAGGGGGATTGAATATTGAATATTGAATCTTGGTCGAGAGGTCTATGTACAAAGAGGCAGGCTGGATGACCCAGTCATGATCGATTGATCGATGATCGATAGGCACACAATCCACTCGTCCCTCGGAAGTGGCGCAGGCCCGGGACCGGAGCACCTTTGTACACATCCCTCAACGCGTCGCGCGAATACTCTGGATTCTTGAATATCCTCTGTCGTTTACATAAATCGGTGGCGTTCATTCCAGTGAATGCTTTTCCTGGACTGTGATACAAAATCTCGCGTTTCGTGATTGACAGTAACTAAGGCTCGCATTTCCAACAGGGAGAGGTCTCTTTGCCCGGTGAGTCGAGTTCGTTACAAAGTATTCTCATCTGAACGAGAATCTTAGGTTACCACATACCGAAAGGATCTACTGGAGTTGTTGTGAATATGCCTCCCGACAACTCCACATCTTCAAGATCATCATCTAGCAAGAATAGACGCGCCCGCGCACCGTTAGCTTGCGATGCTTGTAAACGGAGGAAAAGTTTGCCATGTCATTCAAACCGCAGTGATATACGCTAACCTACTACCAGTTCGATGTCAGTGCCATCAACCATATCGTCCACAATGCTGAAATCCGTCTAGGCGTTCCTTCGCTGAGTGGGGGCCAATGTGGTGCATGCGCGTCATCGAAGGTGGAGTGCACATTCGGCGGTGCCCAGGAGGTATGTTTCCAGCACATCTACATAGCTTCATTCGGTTTTCAACATAAATCTCTAGACGCGCGTTGTATCTAAAGAGTGTGTGTCCCATTTCTCCGCGCGTCACAGCTGCCCCAACACGCTTGCAGCTACATTGAAGATCTCGAGATGCGTCTGCGGCAAATGGAGGAGCTCGTCCAATCAGTGTGTATATCCCGTGTAGCTGAATTTCTTCACAAGAATCATTCACTCCAGATGCGCGAGCAAGCCTCACCACCACCTGCCGTTTTTGAAACACCCAAGTTGGTACCGGCTCTCAAGACACCTGCGCCATCAAGTCGCTCGGACACACCTTGCACCGCCGCGCTGGACAGCGAAGACGAGGACTACACCGGACTTAGTCTGCTGCAGGAGGACTCGTCTTCTCGCTCCGTCGCTCATGGTTTCTACGGTAACAGGATCGATAAGCAGCTTGTACGTGAGGCAATCAAGCTTGAAGTCGAGGATGAGCGGCTGCTTTCACTTTCGCTCGATGCTCCCATACGACGGCCGGAGTGCCGGTTGATCTACCCGGCAAGTTTGTCTACGTCTACTCGTGATATCCTGTCTGCTCATATGATATGTCGTGCAGTGGGAAACGTCGGAAACGTCGCGGCGTGAGTGGCAGCCATTTGTGTTCCCGCCGCCAGACTTGTTACGGCACCTTGTCGATCTATATTTCGCATGTATGAACGTATTCTTCGCGCTGCTGCACCGCCCAACGTTTGAATCCGCGCTCGCAAGCGGGTTGCACTATTCCGACGAACGTTTTGCGCGTGTCGTGTTGCTGGTATGTGCCGTCGGCTCACGCCACTCACGTGATACACGCGTCACATACGGCAATACCGGTTCCTGGGCATCCTCTGGATGGGCGTGGTTCTCGCAAGTGGACGTGTATCAACGTTCTGTCCTGCACAAGCCTAGCCTTTACAATCTTCAGGCAATATGTGTCCGTTTTATTTCTTATTTCTTCTAGTTCACAATTTATTTCCCTCTTCATCTCATAGTTGTAGACTGCGCCACTGACATTGCTCTTCCACAGTTGTACGTCCTGTATATGCAAGGTTGTTCCCTGGTGGAAGAGTCCTGGCCGCTTGTCGGCATCGCCATTCGTCTTGTTCAAAGTGTGGGCGCGCACCGCCGTAAGGTCTACGGCGCTCAGTTGACGGTGAATGATGAACTCTGGAAGCGCGCCTTTTGGTCGGTCTATCTACGAGAGTAAAATTTGCACGTTCGGTTTACAACCAGCTATCCAGGTGTCTCATTTGGCTTGACCGTATGATGGGTTTCTCCTTTGGTCGCCCTTGCGCCGTGCACGAGGAAGAGTCAGTATTCCTGACATCTTTGCTCTTTTTTTCTTCATGCTTAATTGCTATTTGTGATTGTCTATTGCCATGACTGCAGCATCGACCTAGACCTTCCCATTGAGTGCGACGACGAATACTGGATTTGCCCAGAAACGAACAAGCCGTACTTTCAACAGCCGAAGGACAAGCCGTCAAAGCTGTCTTTCTTCGTGTGTATCGTTAAGCTGAATGAGCTTCTCGGATACGCATTGCGCACAGTGGTGTGTCTTTCTTTCTATGCGATGCTATTCGGCCCGTTTTCGACGCTTCTTCAACAGTACTCGATCAACAAAACGAAGGTTCCCCGCGTGTTTGTACCTGAGACCATGGTGACCGAGTTCGATTCACTGATCAACAACTGGATGGACTCTGTTCCCGCACATCGTAAGCATCTCTTATTTCTTCTTATTTCAAGACATTGGACCCATTCTATAATTCGCTAGTCCGCTGGGACCCAAACAGGAATGACGAGACATTTTTCGCGCAGTCTGCTACGCTCATGTCACTCTATCACCACTTTCGTATCCTCTCGCACCATCCATTTGTGCCGTCTGGTGGGGACATGTCTGCGGTCTCGCAGATGTGCATCCTCACATGCGTCAATGCGGCGCGTTCATGCGCGCACATTTCGGACGTGCAAATCCGCCGTATGCCAAATATGGTAAACGTGATGTGTTTGGTACGTCCAGTTAACTCCGCATGTTTTTCCTTTTTTTTTACTTTGGTGTTGCCTTTTGGGGACATTGTTATGTTGAAATGCCTTTCTCACACATCAGCATTCCTCGTTCGCGTCCGGCATCGTGCTGCTGTTGAAGATATTCACTGTCAAGCGGACCTCGTCGGCCAACTTCGACTTTGCACCAGATATACATGCTCTGCACGCGTGCATGCGCATCCTGGACAACGCAGAATCAAGGTACGCAGCTTGCTCCTTCCCTCTGAGCCGTACTATCCGTTCCTCTAACGGGCAACCTGCCTTGCCTTTCCTGTTTGCGCATCGCCAGAATTTGGTGGGCGGGTAAGCACAGGTGGGCCTTGCATCATCTCCCGTGTTATCCCTTCTAATATGGTTGGCTTGTTGTATTCCGGCAATGCCAGAGATATTTTGCATGGACTCGCGTCCGCAGCGCATCTGCCACGCAGTACACCTCCTTCGCTGCCTAGCGTCCATTCGTCACCGTTGCAACAGGACGAACCGTCGTCCCCGCCACGACTCGACACACCGTCGCCTCCATCCCGCCCGGATATGTCTCCGCGTTCTGACGTGCAGCAGGACCTTGCAGCCCAGCCAAGCCTGGACACATTCAATTCCAGTCTGCACTTCCTGGATGCTTCCGCAAGCACAGGATTCTTCTTACCAGGCCCGTCGGGCCAGCAACTGCCAGCGTCTTCTTCAGTAGAAGCGCACTTATTCCAGCCTTCGCGACAGCAGCAGTTACAGCCCGAACTTCAGCATGAACAGCCATCACCGCCGTCATCACATCTGCAAGGCAGCTTCCCTGTCGACGTGACCCCGCTCTTCCCTGCGGACGCATCCCCGTTCGCTGTGCTCGGACCGGACCAGGACGACGACCCGTTTGAACTGGCCTTGCGAGACTTGCTTGCCAGCTCTGCAGTTACGCCGCCAGTAGGCGGGGATGATGCGGAGAACAATCATGCATCAGGACGCCATGAAGGTGACGGGCTGTACGATAGTTTGATCGGGCAGATTGCAGGCGCACAGCATCAGGATGTTGGGCGGGACGCAAGTGATGGGCGGTGTGCGGATAGCAGCGAAGGCGGCAATGCCCAGCCGGCATGGAGTCTCCCAAATGTCATGGCTTTGTGGAATGGTGTGCCTTCGGCAGGATTCGAGTGCGTCCTTCAATGACCAGTCAGAACTAAGCTCGTTTTCTAACGTGTTTTGTTCTGGATAGTATGGATTGGGACAAATATATCGCGTTGCTGAGCTAGAGACGTCACGCGGGTTTGGCATAGATTCTTCCTTTTTGAATCAGGCAGAGCCTGATGGGAACATAATAGATAAAAAGTCTTGCGGGGAGGGAGGGGACCTTATGGAATGATAATGTAGTTTTGATTTTGGTACATTCTAGCGTATATTTAACTATATCTCCCGCAACTATGTATTGTATGTCACTATATCGCGTTTATCTTCACGTGGATTAGTTCGTCTATGTTGTTTTTCTAGGTCCAGCGTGCACGGACAAGAAAAACAGGATAGTCACGAGGAATGCAGTAGACGCAGGGAGTAGACGTGGTGGTGGTGCGTTTGAATTGGTACAATCTATGTACACAGACAGGGGCGTCGTGTAGTGTAGTGAGAGACAACGTCAACACGCGTCAACACCGGAATCATGAGACGCTCTTGATGGCGGCATGGCCCATCACGCACCTTATATCAAAAGTCAGCAAGTACTATGTCGTTGTTCACCAAAGTGTACATTTTTTCTTCAACGTAAACAATGTTGACGGTGTTATTTGTCAGCGCTTGAGTTGTGGCGCAGATGAGTCAGTGGTGTGCTAAGTGGCGGTTGTGTCGTCTATGGGACTACCGAGTCTCGGTGGACCGACATCTCATCAATTCGTCAGCAACCAGTCCAAAACTGGAAGAATGTTCTCTTGCTCGATTATTGCACAGTGCACACGCTTTCCAGCCGTTTCGATAAATTCCAATCGCTCCCAAATATGTCGATCTGTTCTCACATCTGGGCGTGTTCCTTACAACATTCGGACACTTGTTCTCATGCCGGCATGGGACATCCCATCCGGATAATTAGTATGTACACCAGACCCGCACAATTGGCACAAGGATTACATATCTTTCTCAGAAACTTTCAGTAGCGTTCGCCGTAATAACATAAATAGGCCCTACGCCCCGGAATTTTCCGCCAGCAGCACGCCATTCGAAGATGTGTTTCCCCACCAAACGTCAACGGGCCAATTTTAGCGACGATATAGACGAAAAGCTGCAGGCCAAGCCTATAAAACCCGCCGTGTCTCCCGACAATCCTTCAGCTTCATCATCTCCCACATCTGCTCCTCCTGCTTCTGCTTCGTCTACAGCACAAGTCACAGTTAACATGTCTTCTCCCAAGATCGCCATCGTCATCTACTCCTTGTACGGCCACATTGCCAAGAGTACGTTTCTATCGTCGCACGCTGTGTTGGCTCGCTATCCCCTGCAATCGGTGTACTAATCTACTGTTTTTGCAGTGGCCGAGGCTGTCAAGGTCGGCATCGCAAAGGCGGGTGGCAGCGCCACTATCTACCAGTACGTCCTTTCCTTATCTATCGATAACGCCCCGTGGCGCTGTCTTTGCACACGTAGCAACTCTACGCGTGCCCATGTATCGCGCCCTTTCTGTTTTCGGTATGCTCACAATGTCATCCGCAGGGTCCCCGAGACGCTCTCGCAAGATATCCTCGACTTGTTGCACGCGCCTCCCAAGCCGGACTACCCCATCATCGACGCTGAGAAGCTCGCCACCTACGACGCCTTCATCATGGGAATTCCTACCCGCTATGGCAATTTCCCCAGCCAGTGGAAGGTACTTCCTTACTTTCTCGTGTTCTTCACCACATTTTCTGACAGGTCACTTCGTGCAGGCCTTCTGGGACTCTACCGGTCCCCTCTGGGCGAAGGGTGCCTTGGCTGGCAAGTACGCTGGCGTCTTCGTGTCGACCGCGTCCTCTGGTGGTGGCCAGGAGGCGACTGCCATGAACTCCATGTCCACTCTCGCTCACCATGGCATCATCTTTGTACCGCTCGGTTACTCGCAGACTTTCGCTTTGCAGACTAACCTCTCGGAGGTCCATGGTGGTGAGCATCTCTGACTTAGTCTTCCATATTTCATGGGTCTTTTCGGTCTGTGGCAACTGCACGTGCCAGTATTATGTGCCCTTTTTTTTGGCCGCCGCATCCATCTAGTCCTTGTCCATATGTTACCTGGACTCGTTGCTAATTTTATCCTTCTACAGGTTCTCCTTGGGGCGCCGGTACCTTGGCTGCTGGCGACGGCTCCCGCCAGCCCACCGCGCTCGAGCTCGAAATGGCGACGATCCAGGGCAAGCAGTTCTATGATACTGTTTCCAGGGTCAAGTTCTAGATACGCTCATGACACCTTAGATGGAAAGATACAATCTTGGATCGTAGATATAAACTATTTTAAAACAAACAAATTCTATAGACATTCTCGCGGAATCAATACCGTAATTGCTTAAAAGAAGTATGCAACCCACCGCCTTTGACTCGAGTATCGTATCGTCGATATATCTAGCACGTCGAGATTTGTGAGGGGGCGCCATGTGCATAGATAGATAGAAAATTATACACTGTTCAACGTTGTATGCAGTTGTTATCGACTTCTCGTCATGAGCGGGTCGTGTTGTGTGGCATTCTTGTATGTAATTTTTACTGCGAAGCTCGACGGAAGCTGGTAGCATTCGTCAGGCACCGGCTGGTACACTTCTTGGCCAAGATAAAGATGCGGACTTATAGACGCCTCAGTACTCAGTACTGGGGGTGCACTGCGAAACTGTAGTTGCTCGAAACGTGACTTTCGTCCTTGGTGTATATCAATGATGAAAAAGACAATCGCGTGTCGTACGGTTAGAATTCGGATACGGGGAGTCGAACCCCGAGCTTGCGCGGCCCATACTGGCTGTTCGCAATGAGAGGCGCAAATGTTAGCCGTTACACCATATCCGACGGCCTAGAAGAAATACTGCAGAATTATGTCCTAAATTCTATGATCATGTGGCTCAACCTTGAGCTTGATCGAGATGAGTGCTCGGTGATAATCTCCTAAAAAGGCAGTCCCTGTGTCGCCGTTTTCTGATCACCATTTTGTTTCGTTAGCTGGTGTTGGGCCCATGCGACTTTGCGGGGGCGTTCATCCGATGTGGAATTATGGCCAGGTAGACGCGCACTGCCAGACGTCGGCATGCAGTGGCATGCACAAGGTTGGATGGTCATGTCGCGGTGCGCGAAATGCATGTACGTAGCCGCTTCCTTCGTGCTCCGGTGCTCCGACAAGTTGGGTGGGCGGCTGTGAGTCTTCACGCGACTTTGACCCACACTGACTTGTCATTCTTCTTTGCCGCCACTGCGTCTGCCTGACTTGGATGTACTTAGCATGTGACCATGGGAGTTGGTGATTTGCAGAGTTGGAATAATAATACTCTCCCTGAGTTCACTCCTAATGTGACGAAAACGAAATTTTCTTTTCACATTTTGAGGTGTAGCGGCAACTTGTGGGAACGTACATAGACCGATGTTAGGTTCTACGACGGTTCAAGACAACAATAAACAAACGCACATTCAGCTCGACGTGCGCAAGAGGTGTGTAAAGCAACGGCCACCCAACAGAATAATACACACAATTGGCTGAAAGGAAATACTGGGAAGGAAAGAGAACGGAAGATTACAGGGATGCAGGTATTCAAGTATCATATTCTGCATTGAGGATCAGATACGCTCTCGTGTGACCGTACTCAAGACGAATCCACGTCTCAATGTCCGCTGTAGGGTCCGTCGAGGTGAAGATGATGTTGCGGATACCATGTCCCCAGCCCGTCGAGCTGTAGCCGCCATATCTGCACAAGAGAAAGAGAAAGAGACAGAATAGGAGACAAAACCACACAAAGTACGCGTCCGACAGTGGAACGGGGCAGCCACGTTAGATCAACGGAGGAAAAGTGCAGCGATGTCCGTCACGATGCATAGAAACGGTATGTTGAGTTGAGACCCGTGTTGAATCAAGCAAAAAAATACTGACCCTGTATGCTTGTCAAAGCAGAAGATGACGTTCTTGCTCGTATCGCGAGCACACCACTCGTTGCCGTGATCTACGTGTTGTTCAGTCTCGACGGTCGAAATGAAAGACGTATATCGGCAAGAAAAAGTAAAGGATAATAACACGTAGACTCAGAAATTGAAAGAACACAAACGCGGTAGCACGTACCGTGTCCTGAGATGACCGCTCGCAGATTAGTGATATACGTGTTCACGGCCGTCCAGAACGGCTCGTCCTTTCCAATGTTCGCAGAGTCCGTGGTGGCTTGAGTAGAGCCGCTTCCCAGAACGTCCGCTATACCGGAAAGTCTCCGTATCAGCGAAGTGTCAAGTAGGTGTACATTCATACTGGCGAACCATTCAGCCCCGGGCTTTCCGTCTTGTTGAGCGTCTCTTGCAGGTACTGGACATCGTGACTGCACAGGTGTCGCGCCAAGAGTGCACAGGAGGGACAGACGAAGGACGTGACGGAGAAAGCGATGCACGGGTCAGTCATTAATCGGAATTCACGCGGACACGAGAAGATGCTCAACGGTGGAATATGCACAAATGCCATGGCAGACCGATTCTCTGCCGAGCCCCACGCGCTCTCCATGGCTTCAGTCTCAGACTTGATCCAGTCTGCCACGGATACGTCGACCCAGTCAGGCATAGCACTCCCATTAGTCTGGAAGCCACCTGAGTATCAAGAATGCAATCGTGGGAATAGCACTAAATCGCAGATAAAAAGAAAACTACTAGACCACGTACCACGAGAGTCGAAGAACCAGAGGACGAGACATGGCGATTCAGCTGTACATCGATTGTAAGAGGAAGATGTAAACTTAACCGACCGCTGACGAGTCGGTAATGCAGGCACTAGACGCACATTCGGACGATTCGTAAATCTAGGAAATTGGGTGTTAGGAACGGCTAGGTGAAATAGTAGAAATTATAAACGCACAGGAACCCAGTAGTTTGCTGGTCCTCCTATACCACCGACCCCCTTAGGGCCGGGGCGCGTGTAGCTCAAAGGCGCAACGAGCCTCTCCCGTGCCATCTCTTCGGCATGGGTAATGTTGATTTCGTTGTCATGGTTCTGGGAGGTCGATCACGTGAACGAGCATGAAGTAGCACCACGAGCGAGTGAATGACATAGTTGAGAAACGCGTCGGGACGTGAACAAGATAGGGACGGTGTAGAAGATTGGCGACGTACACCGTAAGTCGATGAGAATGGAATCTTGAAGTCGTTCAGAGGTGCGACGATTTCATCTATCAACAGCGTCGCATTGTCTTTAAACGTGTCTGTAGAATACGTGTAAGCGCCACACGGTGGCCGTGCTGAGTATTATCTTTGACAGAGACGTGCGTGCCTTCCCCAGTGATGAGATCTCCGTTGATGACGCTGTTGAGACGTTATCCAACTCCGTCAGGAATCGATTAACTTGACAAGCGACATCAAGTGCGTACACATAGTCAGGCTGCTCCTCAGGAAGGACCATACGCATGAGATGGGTACTGTTCACATCCTGCTCCGGGCCCCACGCGTCCCACGGATTCTCGCCATAGTGTAGGTCAGAGAGCACTGTGATCTTGAAGGTGCCGTTGTCCTTGAATACCAGGCGTGGTTTGTCTGGATAGGGATTCAACGTAGAAGCATCAACCCTGCCATTCACTTTCGCATACGAAGGCGTAGAATGGGTGGAGCGCTCGGCCTCTAGCACTTCTGTGCATGAATGATAATACCCACGCCATTGTTTCGCGCGACGACAATAATATCAGTTTGTCACGAAGCACCAGAAATCGGAACTGCATCTCACGGGACTGAGGTCTGCCCCATGGTGCGCAGAAGGCGATGTGAGCTGTGGCCAACACTGCCAAAACAACCTGAAGGGCTTGCATGACGCCAGAGTTACGAAGGCGACTACGTCAAGCACCCAATCGACTGAAGCTGAATACATGCTATTTCTTGGTAGCACTTGCACGTGCGCTCAAGCACTGGCAGGTTCGTCACGTTTGTTCATCCTTTCGGCATTTTGTATTGTAGCCACCTGCTATTCTTTGCAGATTGCATGCAGATTCCTATCTCGTGTGGTCTCGAGAAATTTTACAGATTCCGTCGCGGCATTCGAAATCTGAAGTAGCTCTGCTGAGAAGTCCAAATCAAGTTGCTTCTGTTGGTTGTACGAGACTGCACATCCGATTGATGAGGGTTCCTGAGAATCACTCGACTAGACTGCAAGGTCTTCAGAACGTTCAACGTTCGCGAACTTGTCCTGGGACAGGTTTGGGCAATTATGCACTGTTCGTACCGCGCTCAACCAGCAGCACAATACGAGATACATCCTCGCCGAGCGGTTCCTTGACCTGCACCACATTACTCCAGCCTAGATCACACTTTTGTGTTCAATAGATGACAAAGGACGCACAGAAAACGCATTGAGCGCTACATCCAACTGCATAAATGCGGCATCGGGAGCACAGACACCGCCTGCCTAGACCTGCCATGGCTTGTGCTATCAAGAATGGCGATGGGACCTCGAGCGCGGGCGGCGTGGACACCACGCCAATTGCATCCTTTCTCCAGCTCACAATAGGACCCACCATATGACATGATCCAGTATCGTACCAAGATTTGCACGCACGCGCGTCGCGGCGTACGGACCGCCAGTGCCCATTGGTTGCCCATGCTCGAACGTTCACCAAAACTGTCCGCAATGACTCCGCATCACACCATGGCAGTCATGGAGGTCCGGGTGGAATACAACAGCTTACTACAAAAGGCGCATCTTTGGCTGCGCTTCCGGTGTTTATAGTTGGAGGCGATCGCTTGAGAACAGTTACCCAATCACCACTGGTCACCTATATCATCCCGGGGGCACCAGGAACTGTGTAGCATCGTCTCAGATTGACCACGCCGACATATGATAGTGGTAACAGGCATATAAGGCTTATCAAAATTTCAGCCCAAGATACCATGAAATGGCAGCGGAAATGAGGCGTGCGAAACCGTGGGTCGGGCTTGTTCTGATTCCTGAAAGCCAAGTTGGGGCCTCGATGTTATCGCAGTTACGTTCAGCGGCAAGCAACAAGGCCGTTGCTGACACTGGCATGAAGGATATTCCTGAATCAGAAAAAAAGGCGCTGTTCGAGGCGCAATACACCTTAATTAGAAGCAAGAAGTATTTTCGCGCCATCCAATATTGCGAGAGTTGTTCTGAGAGTTGTTCAGATTGCGGGACTGGAAGATCTAACGGCGATCAACAAATTTGATGGCCGCTTGACAGCGATCCCTTGAAGCTCCCGGCGGTTCACCTTTCGACTCGTGTTCTCTGTTTTTCTCCTTCCACACTTTTCCTATCTTCCAGTTTTTTCTCTTTCTGTGCAGCCTCTTGTGGAGCACCGTCGCTCTTCTGTCCGTTCGCGAGCCGGAGCCACTTACCACCGTGCGATTCGAGGACTCCCTCTGTGTTCACAACTGTGAATTTCAGAGAGAACTGGTTACCGGTTTGGAACGCACATCGTACGTAGGTCCAGAAGCGGTTTCGCGATTTTCTCCGGGACTTCACTGGCAACTCGGTACTTATCCAACTACTCTCGAATGTTGGTGCTCCTAGGTGACCGTGATCTATTGACCATCAGAGGCTCCGGGCACCCCTCGCTCGATTAGTTATAAACTTTCTCACATAACATATTCGCAATATACGCTCTCCATGCCACTCTTCGACGCTCAATGTCCTTTCGACCGCTAATAGCCGTTTGCGGCACGACTGGTGTCGGAAAGTCGCAGCTGGCCATTGATCTGGCTTTGTATCTCAAGAACAAGTTTCATGGAGAGAACGGGTGGAAAGGCGCACGTATAATCAATTCTGATGCCATGCAAGTTTACGCCGGACTAGACGTGCTCACGAACAAAATGCCGGAATCTGAGCA